TCGGGGACTGGGTTCCCCGGGGTTGGCCGCCGAGTTATCGCCGGTTGCCTGCGGAGATGCCTGGGAAGAAGGCGCGTAAGAACGCGCAGCCTAGCCCGACGCGGGCCCCGGCAGGTAGGGACCAGATGGGGCGGAGATCCTGGCCGGGGCGAGGGGGCCGGCACGGGGGTCGAGGTCTCTATCCGGACCGGGTTAGCCCGTCTACTCGGGGCCTCGGGGCCTGGTCTGGTCTGCGCCCTTGCACGTGCTTTCGGGGCGCCTCGTGGAAGTCCTTCGGGGTTTTATCCAGGACCGTGGAGACGGCGAGGGACCCAGGTTTGGGTTCGAGAGGCAGCGGTATTTCAGCGGATGCAGAAAGCCTCTTCGCCCGCCTTGCATCCGCACTTGCCCTGCCCCGGCCTCGGGGAAGAAAAGTGCAGATGCGGGTGCCAGCCACCAGGAGAAAGTCATTGTCACGGCAGGTGGGGACGGGGGACGCTCTTGGCACTACCTGGCCTCCCAGCGACTCCTAAGACAGGCCTCTTTCTCCGGGGTCCTGGACCTGGAGGGCCCCGCGCTAGGCGTTATCACACTCGCCACCCGCCACGCAAACAAAAGCAGAGATAATGCTGGTCCGATCACAGCTCTTCCTCAAAGGACTCACGGAGGGTCGTGGAGGTTTCGCAGGGACCACTGCGTTCAGGAGCCCAGAAATTCTTGCTTCTTTGTCGAGAGTTACATTGTATAACATTTTAACAATCCTATTTAGTTGCGGGAAGGGGGTAGGAGAACCGAAGTTGGTCCCCAATCCATCCATTCCTCGCCCTTCACCCCAAATTGCCCATCAAATAACTTTTCAGATCCACCCCCCCCCCTTTATAAATCTTATCAAACGAGGCTAAGGGGCAGTATCAAGGAAGGCAGCAAGGCTTTGAGCCAGAAAATCCGGGTGGGTCATACTGCTATTACATCAGCAGGTAATAGCCCCCCATCCCCCAGTTTTCAACATACTTTCATTTTATGGAGCCCATGCGCCGGCATGCAGAGGAAGTGGTGTATCGGCGATGTAGCCATGGCTAGGTTGGTGCCAGGCTGCTCTCCCTGGCTCTTGCTTGGGAAGGAAAAATCTTTCTGCCTTTTGTGATGTCCAGTAGTTTTGACCGAGCTTTGAAAAGGCGCCTCCTGGAAGTGCTTCAGGGGTTTTACCCAGGACCAGGGAGACGGCGGCGAGGGAGGGATCTAGTGCATAACCTTCACCCATCCAACTTTACTTAGTTCCCCACAACAAGGGACTGGAGAAAGGTCCCACGGAAACTTGTTTAGATAGTAATACTTTAAAAAATAATGAGACATGTGACATATAACATTGTATTTTAGTTGTACCACACAGTGGTTTGATACATGTATATGTTGTGAAATAATTACTACAATAAGTTTGGTTAACATCCATGATTACAATTTTTAAAATTAATAGCTTTATAGATGTGTAACTACAACAGAGACGAAGTTTTTATTTCTTTTGAGCCTAACTAACTAGGGTCTTTGCAGGGTCTACTTACCAAGTAAACCAGATTGTAATTTGTAGTCATGGTTTTTAATGTTCATAATCATGATCTTAAAGTAGACAAATGACCCTGAATTGCTCTGACTTTCCAAGAAAATTGAAATTATGGTCAATATAGATTTGATGTCAATTTCACTTAAAATTTATTTGGAAATTATATGATAAATATTATGTTTCTTAAATTAATATTCAGTTAATTACAGTATCTCTATTCTGAAAAGTAGTAAACATGTGAATTACTTATATTCCACTTCACTCATCTCCCTAAAGGCAATGGATTGGTAGAGCTTGGGTTTGTTGGAAGAATTTGGCTTAGAGTTAACATTTAAACTTCTAAATTATTTTAAAGAATGTGGACTTACTTTTGGAAAACAAGTGTATGAATCTTCTATGAGAAAATTTCAGAGTTTTTTAAATGAAGAAAAGAATACATTTTAGATTTGCCTATTAATGAGGGCATAATCTTAGCTATGAATTATTGCCACAAAATATACGTCCTACTTGAAAACAAAAGAAGAGTTTAAAATTTGACTTCCATCCCTCCCACCAACCTTAAGTGAGAGAAAAAGGAATGACATCATCTGAGGCCGGCAACATCTCACTGTGGTGTCTGACATATTAAATGCTTGTATTTGCTAATAAGATAATATTTGCCTCATCCAGGATACTTTAAAAGAAGATTTCAAAGTAAATGTCTTCGTTCAACTTTTCTTTTTTCTTTTCTTTTTTTTTCTTGTTTGAGTCACAGTGTGTTTGTACATGTTGTGTGTCTGTATGTGTTCCATCTCACGTACAGAAAACAGGTGTACAGAAAACTAACAGTAAGAGGAATGTTTCACGGGAAACCTACTCAACTTGTCATTCTTGCTGGTTGTAGTGTGGAATGTTGTCAATTTAATTTTGATGTTTTGCATTCTTTTTCAGAGGCTGAAATTGAGTGTGCCCTTCAATTAAGGAGAATTGGAGACAAGCTGAGTTTCCTGCAGAAACTTCTGAACCTGATGTACAAACTCTTCGGCTCAGGAACCTGACTGCTTCAGAAGCCTTCTAATGAGGCGACTCCTATAAAGCTGGATTTACCGTATTTCATCCATTAGTGGCGAGAGACTGCATTATAATGGAGAAGAATGTGAAGAAGCTCTCACTTGCTTTGGGATGTGCTTGGAAATGAAGATGGAATACATCACAATGAAATTCTGTTGGAGGTTTCCCAGAAGTCATTTGTTTATTTAATGCAAGAATTGAAGAGCTTTGAAAATATGGAATGAATTATTAAACTTCTTTTGTTTCTGTTTAGAGAATTTTTCTAGTATTTTTGTTGAAGGTTGATGCCCAGCCTAGTGTAAGAAGAGTTGATAAATAACTAGAATGTTTTGGCAGGGGCCAAAAACAGAATATGTTCAGTGTTTATTTCTACTTAGGGATGACAATTCCAGAACAATGTATAATATTTGTTTTATATATGTTATCTTGTTAAAAGTAAATATTTCATTCTGAGAACACTGAATGTTATAGTGAACGTTGATTTCATAGGTCACTACAAAATATAAAATAATTTGATAATTTTTTTTTTACTTAAAATGTATTACTTCTGTTCAGATGACTTTTCATTAAATGTGTTCCTGTGGGCCTTAACTGGGCAGTATGGAATTTGAAAAAATTTGATCAAATTTAGTGCCAGTAAAATTCCTAGGTTGAATGTTAAAAGATGAAGAGCATAGGGATTTTGGATAACCAGGGATAATAGAAAAAAAAGTGAATTTTACTTTTTACTGCTGAATTAAAACTTGGTAAAACAAATATTCTAAAGTAACTGTTTATAAGAAAATGAATGTTTCTAAAGAAATTTCTAAAATCTGTAAAATGCCCTTTTCCACACTAATCACTGTGAATTCTATAAGAAGTGATTTTTACAAGAAGTTAAACATGTTTTCATTATTAGGATATACTTTTTAAGTTATTTTTTAAATAACAGTTTACATTCAATATTATTTTGTATTAGTTTCAGGTATAAGGGATATACTTTTTTTAAAAAGAGGAATAGATTGCTCATTCAGAATGAAAATTCTATGTATAAATATGGGATTTTAAGGGATTTTCTTTCTGGG